TGATCACAAATGAAGGGCCATCGGGCTCATCGCCCGCGGCTGATGTCACAGACCATGGTCCAAACCACTTGGGAAGCAGTTTGCGTGAAACATCCTGTTCCAGTGCAAACTCTTCCGCGGAGACCCAAACCAGATCACCGACGCGGATGGGACATGGCACGCGACACCTGTTGGCTTGCTGCTGCATGCGGACTTGAGCCTTTTGCATGTTCGCGCGGGCTTGAGTCAGCAATTCCCTGTACTTCCGGACGGAAGCAGGAGAGCAAGCGACGTCAATGTCGGCTGGTYGAGGGAGGAGAAGGTCGGCGAAGATACGGCCTTTCCGTCCACCGTGGTGTAACTCGAATGGAGTCACGCCGATCGCCGGGTGCACCAAAGTGTTGCAGGCGAACTCGATGTCGGGGAGGCGGTCAACCCAATCTTTCTGGTCCGGACGRATGAGCGTACGAAGCATCATTTGAGCGGTTTGATGTGCCCGCTCCATTTGCCCGTCCGTCTGTGGATGCCGAGCCGAACTTGGTTTCATCTTCGTGCCGGACTGGACTCCTGCATGAGAGCAGTCCAAAATGCCGACATGAAGCGAGTGTCGCAGTCGCTGACTATGTCTTCTGGTACACCGTGGCCACAGATCCAACCGGTGTGCAGGAGGCGTGCCAGCTCGGGAGCCATGGAGTAGTACTTGCAAGGAAGAAAATGTGCGTACTTACTCAATCGGTCCACAACCGTGAGGATGCCGTCGTGCCCGAGCCGGTCGCGAGGAAACAGACCGGTGACATCCATGGCAATGGAGAGACCGGGTTCCCGTGGGATAGGCATCAGGCGTAACTCGCCATAGGGATTGCGGTTGCGGGGTTTGCTGCGTCGGCAAACTTCGCAAGAGTCGCAATACCGAGTGACATCGGAAATGAGGTTGGGCCATCGGAATTGTTGTCGAAGTCGTGCAATAGTGCGGTTGACTCCGAAATGGCCGGCGAGTCGCGAGTCATGGTACTCCCCGAGAAGGCGAGTCCGAAGACGACGGTCTCGTGGGACACAAAATAAGTCCTTGCCTCTCGAGTGGAGGAGCAAGTACCCGTCGACAATGCGATAGTGGCTGGTCGGCGGGTGATCCGAAGATAGTTGTGCGTACAACGTGGCGAAGTCCGGATCAGACTCATATGCCCGGATGAAGTGTCGCTGAAGCTCCTCGTCGAATGCGAAGGCATGATGTGTCATAGCGCAAAGATCAGGTCTTCGCGAGAGTGCATCTGCTACGCGATTTGAGAGGCCGGGAAGATGTTTCGGTGTGAAGTCAAACTGGTCGATGAAGTACATCCATCGTCCGATCGTGCTGCTCACCGTATCTTGCGTCTTGTAG